AAGAATGGATCAAAGTATATCAGTTTGAGTTGCGACGAGGAGCTGAGCAAACACGTCAAATAAGGTGGATCAACAGCATTGTTCTAACTATTTCACTGGATACAACATTTACCGTGAAAGGATGATTATATATATATATATATATATATATATATATATATATATATATATATATATATATATATATATATATTAATATACATATATAGGCACACACACACACAATATTAAATTAATTTTATGATTTCTTTAGCTTAAGGTCACCTTTAAGTAATGTACATTTAGATTTTAGTCTATGGTAAATTTCTTTATCAATGTATCAATCGTCGGTAATCATAATAAGTAAAAAAAATGAAGTCTTTCAGTATATTTTTTCTACGTGGTAGAGCCATGCTGCAGCTATAATGTGGTTGTAGCACGAATGGATCAGCTCGACTGAGGAAGGACCACGCTCTCACAAAATACCAGCGTAAAATAGTGACCACCATACGAAAACGAACGAAGTAGCTTAATGCTACTGTGTTTCGTATAGTGAGTGTAGAGAACTGGAGACCCTTTTTTACTGGAAACGAGGCATCCCATCTCAGTCCTCTGGAATGACAACACATCTGCATTTTGAATCTTAACTGGAGATAAATATAGATGTATATGTGCCACAACATCCATTTACCATCAGGTGGACTGTGTGCTCGTATGTCACCCTTATTCTATTCTATTCTATTTTATATAAAGTAACTAGTTAATGGAAAATATACGTCATCCATTCATCTGTTACAGCCAGTCCACTACGGAACAGGGGCTTCCCACAGTTCCCCATAGATTGCTTCATAGTATATATTTTTCATAGTATATATTCATAGTTTTTTTTAAGTTTTTATCAGGAAGATGCTGCTGCCCTTCTGTTTTAATTTCTCTCTGTCGTCTCTATGGCACCCATGCCGTGGGCCGGTATGGGGTAGTGAAAATATTCTTACATCGCAAATAATTTCTTATAAAAGTAAAGTCAATTCCTCTGCAATCTGTTTCCCTTCCCTTTTGCATAAATATTCTATATAAGGATGTGGGGTTTTTTGGCTCTCGCAAGAATCTTAAACGAACCGAGACGTTTTGTAATCCTTAACTCTTATACCACTTGCATTAACTGTGTCAATGTTAAAATACCGGGCTGCAAACACAAAAGCAATGCGCAGTAAAAGGCTAACATCTTCTTAGCTGGCTTTGAAAGAGAGAAGGTGCTCAAATCCAATGTATTTTAAATTTTAAGGAAAGAAATATCCCTAAGACAAAATTTTTTATTGCTTCAAATTAAATTTCGATACAACTATTTAGATGACATTCAAGAAAGAAAGACAGAAAAATGAAATTAGTTTTATTTGGCACCCACATTATAACAAAGAAAAATAAACCAGGTAAGACAAAATAATATTCATTTTAACAAAAATATTTACAAAAAATATGCACCCAAATGGTATCCGCTCAGCTTTAAGTCGCGAATTGAATGCCGATTTTCGGTGGAACCAGACGTGTGAGCCAGCTGACAAACGACAGCAAAGAACAAACTTTTTGTAATATATATTTATAAAAGAAAATGAGCAAACCTATGTTAACAAAATTCCATGTACCTAATAGTACTACAATGATAGTATTGAAATAACATAAAACAATAAAATTCTCGTTGTTATTTCGACGTTGTGAAAAAAAGTTAAAAACTACAAAAATTTTCATACAATTTAATAGCTACTAAAGTTTTATCATTTTAAGGCATTGGACTTATATATTATTTTGAAATCATTGTTTTAAGGTGACTAAAATAGGGTGGGATTTACAATTTGACTGCATGTTTTTCTTTTTTATATATATGTTACGCAATATCTTCGTAAAACTATTTTAAATATATAGGTAATTAATTATATATTTTATTCATGTATTTGGTTATTAGTTCGGAGAAGCAATTGACCCCTAAGGGTATTAAAATAAAGGTTGAAGTTTTTAGTGCAACTATTTAGAGGACATTGAGACTGTGACATTACTCAATTCACGCAGAAAATTAAAAACTAACTTTTAAGAACTTAACTAAAAAGAATACACTATATCTAAGCATTGACTTTTGATTGTAACAAGCGGTAAAATTCATTTTTAGATTTAAGAACATCATCAATGTACTTAGTCGAAATCAATTAAATAACTCAACTTAAAAATAACTCAAAAACTACTGGTCGGATCTTGATCAAATTTATATGGGACCACACGAGAAGTACCAGCCTTCAAGTAAAAAAAGAATCCTCAAAATCAGTTCATCTAGAAAAAAGTTCTGAGGTAACACACATGAAAAATATAGTTGAAATGAGAACCCCTTCCTTTTTTTGAAGTCGGTCGAAAATATTTTATTCTTTGTAGTTCTTTGAAGAATTTACTTTAATTTAAAATTGATTTTTTACTATTTTGACACTTACGTCGTTATTTATTCTGAAAACATTATTGTAGGTACGTACGGAAAACATAAATTTTATTTGATAAAAAACTGATTGTCTCCATAGCACAAGATGAAATCGAGTTGATACGCTCGAGGTTCCTTAATTAACATTGATATAAAAGTAAAAAATCTATTCTAAGTATGCATATTTTTTATTAAATGTATTTTTGAAAATAAAATGCAACAATCTGACATAAAATAAAAAAAAATAAAAACTTGTTAAGATAATACTGCTCAAAAAGAGATCAATTTTTTGAGGACAAGAATAAAGAGAAAATGGCATTAAAATAATATAAAAGACCCCAGAGTTTCATACCAGTTCTACTCCGAGGAGGTCTTGTGTTCCGTGCCCATTGAGTTATACAACACTAGAGGAGCAAACCACATTATCGCGAGTCGAAAAAAGTGTAACCACTATCCAAACGCGACGACGTAGCTTTGAAACTAATAACAATTTTAAGTAAACATATATCTATCTCACTTACACAAGTTGCGAAAACAATATCGTCGCTAAGATTAGATAAAGATAGACACACAAACATGCAATGGCGGGTTGGTGTGGCTTACTATATGAAATTTTACCTAAAATACGCAATAAAAATGAGTTTTTTAAAGCTGCAGTTAATTGTTTTTATATTAAAAAAAGTATATTTTATTTTAAAATCTTTATTACGTCCCCTTAGAAAAAAGGATACAAAGCTTATCAGATGAATGTAAGTAAACATAATGATGAAATAAAAGACATTTTTATGGTACTAATAAATCAAACAATATAAAATAGGTAATAAAATATATTTAATAGATAATTCATGAATAAACTAAAATAAGAATAATTAATTATTTTGTATGAAAGTTAAAACGTAGTTCTTATTATAATTTCCAAAATATTTAAAATCAGAGGTAACAAATTAACTTACTCCATTAATTATAGTGTCTACCATTAATGTAGTATAATCACAAATGCGGAAAAGTGGCAACATTGAACCTAAATGGCAATATTCGATAATTTTATTTAATTATTTGAGGTTTTTTACGTTTATATGAAAACAAGAACTAAAAATTATGTGTTGAAAGTAATTCCGCTTGATTTATTACATTTTTGTGACCTTGAATAGCATTCTTTCACTACGCATTTACCCATTTTTGTCGCGGCTCAACTCTGTCGGCGTCACATTGAACAATGAACTCACGTTAGCTAGGCATATGGCTGTGGCCATATGTGCAGTGGCAACGCTTTGGCGCGGTTATTACTGATCTAGTGTTATATAAATCAATGTCCGTGCCGATGTAGAGGTGTTTTAATAGGAGATTAATCGAGTCCAAATTGAATTAAAAGTTTTGACGTTTAATATATAAAAACGCAGCTTAGAGACCGCTACATTCAGACAGCATCAGTCACAGCTCATATATTAAAAATTGAGCTGCAGCGTATTATGTCTACAGCACGAATGGGTCGGCATGACCGGGGAAGGAACCCGCTCTCATGGAATACCAACGTAAAATAGCAGTTTAGTAAGGTGAGGGTAGAGAGCCGGAAATCCTTTTTACTGGAGGCGGGGGAGACCACATGATCGGCAGCCGTTTACTACAACTAAATCAACGAGACAGTCCAATGATGATGATGTATAGTGTAATATAAAGATACCTCATTATTGTTAAGAGTTTTTTTTAATAAACTGATATTTTTTTTTTAAATGGCCCATTTTAATAATTTACAAATATGGAAAATTATACATTTTAAAAATATATTTCCACAATTTAATTGTGCTTTGTCATATCTTTAATTTTGTTCATCATATTATATTAATAAAAAAGATGCTCTAGTTTTAATAGTGCCATTAATATTTTAAGTGAATAAAGTATGTATACTTAATATTATTATTGTAAATAAAAACGTTTTAACAAATTCTAATGTTTTATTTAACCTAAACTTTCGAATTTTCTGTCGAACCGTTTGATTTTTCTGATATTAAAGTATCCTTATTGTCAGTGCAGAGACAGTGCTGTATAGTAGGCGATAGGTTTCCAAAACTGCAATTATATATTAGGTTTGGGTGGTAGAGCCAGGCTGCAGATATATTATGGTTGTAACACGGGTCGGGAATCCACCGGAAAATCGATTTCGTATGGTGAGTGAAGGGAACCGGAGACTTTTTACTGGAAACGAGGCATTCCGGTCCTCAGGGGTGACAACAGATCGCACTTTGTTTATCAATCGAGGATAGATGTAGTTGTCGGAGGTCACAGCGTTTTCTTACCATCAGGTGAAGTGTGTGCTCATTTGTCACCCATGTTCTTTAATAATATATCACCTCCTTAATAATAGAAGCATTGTTGTAAGTGGTGTCAACTATCAAGTGAATCTACATATTTCCTGTTGCTGTTTTCAAAGGTGTTTAGTACATTTTTGTTCCCTTTTTTAAAAATCAATTTATAGATATAACCCGCTTTTTGCTCTATCGTCAACGGCCGCTGTGAAACCCCTTCCTTTCCTAAAATATCATAGTTAGAGTATCAGTAAAATTACCTTGGCTTGTTTGTATGCATCTTCATCTGAAGCGACGGGGAAGGCCACGTTGAGCCTGGAGTTCTTCGCCAGCCATTCCCCCGTACCCGTTGAGTAGCCACGTAAGTTGGGATTGTACTCCTTAAGGATGTTTGGCAGCGTTAGGAATTCACGCCAAGTGCTGTCGCCACCTATAATAACATCAGAATAGAATGGCATGTTTTTATATGATATAGATAATACAGACGTTCAACATAGACGTACATAATGCTTATTGAAAGTAAATATCATATAATTATAATAATAATATGTAATAACAATTTTTATAAAACTCTCAGTTTGACAAATTACATGTGTGTATAGTACATATTTAATTACAACTCTACATTTCGAAGCAGTTAGCGTTAACGGCAAACTAACTGTATTACAGCTGTTAGCGTCTTCCAGCTTTTTTTACACAATAAGGATGACAAACGAGCACACAGTCCACCTGATGGTAAGTGGTTGCTGTGGCCCATAGACATCTACATCTATCCTCGATTAAGAATCAAAACGCCTCGTTTCCAGTAAAAAAGTGTCTCCGGATCTCTACACTAACCATACGAAACACAGCAGTATGAAGCTGCTATTTTACGCTGGTATTCTGTGAGAGCGTGGTTAATTTAAATTGTGAGAGTAAATAAAAAATATATTATTATTATAATATAAATATTAATTTTCAAAACCGTCCGACGGTATTAACAATATTAGAAAAAAAGAAAAAATTAATAAATTTCTCCACGTAATCACAACGCCGTATTGTGTGCAATATTAATTTTTTAACATTTTAAACGTTATTAAATTACTATTTAGCTGTTACGGATATTAGCCGGAACAAACAGACAAACAGACAGATAGATAGATAGAAAAAAACTTGAAATAACGGCTACTATATACCAATGGTACTAGACGTTGCCGAACATGACAAAAAAGGGTGTGCACTCAGTATTTAGCACGGCAAATCACAGCCGCGGTTATTCAGTGTCGCCCGTTTCGTCTCTCGAGTAGTTATTACATTATATACATTACCTGCACACCAAGATACGCCTCGATACTCAATAATAGCACCAAGCGCGAACTCCTCTAGGGCTCCGCTACCAGCTACAAGGGAATCTCCAATCGCGGCCACCACATCGATGTCACCGGGTCGCAGCCGGTGGACCGAAGTGGGACGCTGCCGACTTCTGCCCCATGGTACAGAGCTCGCGCAGGGAAACGGCGTAGACACCGGTATAGCACGCTGACGTCTCACGTTCGATTTCCTCGGCAGGTAGTGAATTGATTGCCACTGCAAACAAAAAAAAATCAGATTTTTTTTTCATACACTTATAACGTGCAGTCTTTTCGTAGATCCACGCTGCAGCCAAATTATGTTTGTAGCAAGCATAGCTTGGCTAGACCGAGGTTAGTTAGGAATTAAATTCTGCTATGTTTCGTTTGACGAGTGTAGAGAAGCGGAGACTCTTTTTACTAGAAATAAGACATTCCATTTTAGTCTTAGTAAAGTAAAGTTACAGCCTATATACGTCCCACTGCTGGGCACAGGCCTCCCCTCATTTCTAAGAAGGTTTTAGGGCAAGGAAGTGTCCGCCGCGCTGCCCCAATGCGTGTTGGCGAACTTCACATGTCTTCGAAATATTTTTTTCTTATTCCTCAGACATGCAGGTTTCCTCACGATGTTTTCCTTCACCGCCGAGCACGTGGTATATCAGCACTTAAAATTGCAATTAACAATTTCATTGGTGCCGGCGGGGATCGAACCCGGGTAGCTCGCATTCTCTGATATTTACAGCGAGCGCTAACCATCTGAGCTACCACGGCTCAGTCTCAGTAGTAGATAGATATAGATGTCTAGATGACTATTTACCACAGCATCCGCTTACCATCAGGTTTGGACTCGTTTGCTACTCTTATGCACATGCGTGCTATCTCTATCACTTTAAGTCAAAGTGACTGTGACACTACGGTACGACATCTTAAAATTGAGTAGCGATTGAATTTTTTTATAGCATAAAGGTGACAAACGAGCACACAGTCCACCTGCTGGTAAGTTGATGCTGCGGCCCATAGACATCTACATCTATCCTCAGATACAAATCAAAAATGCTACAACAGCTTTTCCCAAAGAAGAAGAGTTATATTCAACAAAAGACGAGATTTAGAGTATCTCAAATAAAATTTTGGAAACAAAGAGTGAAAGCGGTCTTATCTGCCTTGGCATACCGAGTATTCACTTCATCACAATCACTCATCACGCTTATGGATACCGTTTAACAATTTCTTACGTGGTAGAGCTACGCTGCAGCTATATTGTAGTGTAGCACGAATAGGTCGGCTCGACCGGGGCAAGACCATGCTCTCACAGAATACCAGCGTAAAATAGCAGCTTAATACTGCTGTGTTTCGTATGGTTAGTGTAGAGAACCAGAGGCCCTTTTTACTGGAATCGAGTCATTTCATCTTGTTCCTGCGGGTGACAACGCATTGGCATTTTGATCCTTAGTTGAAAATAAATGTGGATGTCTATGGGCCACAGCATCCATTTACCATCAGGTGGACTGTGTGCTCGTTTGTCAGCCAATGCTATAAAAAAATCTATTCATCTATCATTATTATGGTCATTACAAGAAAGGTTTATTTAATTTCAGTAACTGACTTCGACCGAAGCGTTATCAGAATTGCAAGGTTTGTTTTTCCACGGTAATTTTAAGTTATCACCTCACGTTTCCTTACTATGTAACATAAAATACGCGCTTTTTGTACTAATGCCAACCTACAAACATATTTATCGTAAATTAGATTATTGCATAGGCTGTTTACACGATGTATTTAACATTGTATAATGGCGTGAATACACTAATTATTGCGTAATACAGCCAAGCTATATACTGTGGTTGTAGCACAAATGGCCGACCCATTAGACTAAGTTAGGACCAAGCTCTCACACAATATTAGCGTGAAATAGCAGCTTAATGCTCCTGTGTTTTGTATGGTGAGACGAGGCACCCTGATTCTCGGAAGTATAGACGTAAATGTCTACGGGCCACAGCATCCACTTACCATCAGGGTACTGCGCCATACTTTGTCATCCTTATTCTATAAAAAAAAAAACACTAGGGCGGGCCTGAATAGGATATGTCACTTGTTAAAGATGAAGTAAAAAGGCAGCAAAAATATTTTATCACTTTCAAAAATGCTTTAAAACTCGACTTTGTGTTTCACGTCCGTCTGTATTTACCACTAAATGAATGCGACCTTTTTTTTAAATCCATGCTTTAAAGGTCAATTCTCACTTTGTCAGCTTGATTTTATAGCATTACAAAAATAAAGGTAAAACTATATAAATCAACTAAGATTTACAGTGTAGTATGTATTGGAATTTCCTTTTCAATATTACGAGAAAAAAAACAGTTAAACTATAAAAATGTTTAAAATTCACTGGTCTTTAAAACATATTTTTAGAACTTTGGAATTTTCTTAAGGAGGATTCGAAAGGTTAGAAGTATTTTATAAATTATTCTAAATATTGCAACATTTTTCAGAACGTAAAACAGCAGCTTAAAAATGCTGCTGTGTTTTGTATGGCGAGCGTAGAGAATCGGAGACCTTTCGGTTACTGGTAACGAAGCATTCCATATTAGTCCTCAAGGATTACAAAGCACCTGCATTTTGATTCTTGATCAAAGATAGATGTAGATGTCTATGTGTCACAGCCTCCACTTATTCCTTACCACAATATTCGTTACATCTAAAGTTACAAGCATAGAAATTTGTAAAAGTCAGGACTTTTAACAAATAAGCTGATTTCCATAGAAAAGTCTTGACATTTTGTTGCAAACGTCAAGAAACGCACACAAGCGTGAAAAAAATAAATTATTGTATTTGTAAACTCTCGCGATCAATTTACACCTCTTCCACACAAAAACCGTTAAAGTATTTTATTTAAAAAGTCAGGCATTTCCAAAATCCGACTGCAATCCTGACGAGAGCCTAAAAGTCTTGAATCTCATTAGTTACATCATTTACAAGTTGACAGTTCGGTAACATATTGGTTTGGCTGCGATGCTCTGATCTGTGGGTTCGTACTCACGAACAACTATTTATTTTTATTTATTTATTTCAATCAACAAGGATCATAGGGTAAAAAACATTAATTAACATCTATTCTAATACTAAAATTATAAATCATTACTAATATTAATTATATCAAATGCGTAAGTATTTATAATAATATCGAAAATAAAATAATTTAATAATAATAATAAAATAACATAAATCGATTTCACCGTTACATACACCATATCCGATTTAATTATATATTAACAAAACCACCAACAAAATTTACCATAATGATATAATATAATAATTTTTGTAAATAAAAATACAAAGAAAAAGTCTTAAATATATGTAAGTAAAATTAGGTAATAGATTAGTTCATATACCTGGGGTGCCTGTCCGAGGCAATGGGTACATGGACGTGATCCCAGTGCCTCAAAAAAGCACACTCGGGTTTCTCACTAATTACGTTAATTAGGTGTAACTTATGTTTGTTAAACGCGTTGTTAAAATGATTCGGAATAATTTACTAGTGAATATTTTTTTTTACGTGGTAGAGCCACGCTGCAGCATTATGATAGCAGCACGAATGGGTCGGCTCGACCGGGGAAGGACCACGCTCTCAGAGAATACCAGTGTAAAAAAGCAGCTTAATGCTGCTGTGTTTCGTATGGTGAATGTGAAGAACCGGAGACACTTTTTACTGGAAACGAGGTATTCCATCTTAGTCCTCATGGGTGACAACGCATTTGCATTTTGATTCTTAGTTATTAAGATAAGTGTCTATGGGCCACAGCATCCACTTACCATTGTTGACTGTGTGCTCGTTTGTCAGATTATGTAATAAAAAATAGTATGGAGTAACGTTTATAAAAAAAGAAAAATGCCTTTTTTAAATTAAAAATTTGTACTAACATCCTGGGCATAACTTTTTGTTTATAGACCGATTATAATGATTAATTTTTTTGAAATATATACTTTAGGGGCCGTCTTAGATAAATTTGAAGGAAAATTCCATCCTCAGGGTATAGCATGGAGACTTTAATGTAACTATTTAGACGACATTCTATAGGTGGATGTTACCTTGAACGTGATCCATCATTAAGACTTAAAAAAAGTAAAAACGAAATTAAAAAACAAAAAATATTAAAAACATCCACTTGTTAGCTGCTGGAGTCGGGGCTTAAATTTTCTCGATACACTATTTCTTAGGAATTAGAAAATAAAAAAAAATTAAAAAAATTAAAGTTACGAGTAGAATAGCTTCGGTATTTCTATTAAAAAAGTTCGGTACTAATACCGTAGCTATTATAAGAAAAATATTTTATTCTTTTTAGTTTTTGAAGTTATTTTTTTATTTTATTATAGTTAATGTGTTATTATTACAACAAAAGAGCACACACTCCTCCTGATGGAAAGAGTGGCCACTAGACATCTACATCTATCCTCAGATACAAATCAAAACGCAGATGCGTTGGCACCCGTGAAGACTAAGATGGAATACCTCCTTTCCAGCAAAGGTTCTCTACACTCACCATACGAAATATTAAGCTTAAGCCAGCATTACGCTGATATTCTGTGAGAGCGTGGTCCTTCCCCGGTCGAGTCGACCCATCCGTGCTACAACTATACTACTAATATACAGCATGGCTCTACCACATATAAAATAACTATCAGCATCACTCTATTTCGTCGTTTCGTGTCGTAAGAGGCGATAAAGTTGTGTTTGTGTTCAATGAAAACTTTAAAAAACGTTATACTTTAAGCTTTTGTAGGTACTACAGAGCACCCGCAGAGGGAGTAGAGCGAATCCCAACTAACTTCTATTAAATAAATATGTTTTTAATTCGTTTAAACAAAATTATAGCTTTTAGTCAAAACAAAGTATGACAATAAAAGTAGGACAAAACGCAACACGCAACAAGCACACACTTACGTTCACTGAAAATGGTATACGACCAACGAGGGTACACTAATGAGCAACTATACCTTATTTGTAAGCCTATTTGAGCACTTCATTGCGCACACGTAACAAAACGTGACGGAAACCGTATCGAGAGTAAGATTCATCAGCAAACAAATTACAGATAACGTAATTGTGAAAAGATGGTCTTCTAGACGTTTAGCTTGTTTATACTGGGAATAATAGTGTCAACACAGACGCAGTCAGAGATATAAAGTCAATAATGATTTACCATCTGAGTATATCCGTGCACCGTCTGTGGAAGAAAA